TACGTGGCGCTATGAGGCTGCAAATCCCGACAGACTCGGTACGCAGGCGCGCATCCTTGGCAACGTTAAACTGTTAGCCGAATGCAAGGAGATCTCCGACGAGCTCTGCTGTATATGTGGAATATCTTCTTATCTTTTTGAGTTGCCTTCGTTTGTCGATATTTTCTGGGCAGAAATCAACGACATCATTGAGAGTCTCGGCATACACCGATTCCAGCCTGACAATCTGGTTTACCAATCCGATAAAGTTGATCAATGGCATATGCGAAAGACGCAGGAGAACATCGATCGCTTCGTGAACTATGTGACCTCGATTGTCAAATTGTCGTACCATGTCAACGTCGTTGAAGCTTCCCGAGAGGGAATTGCCGCGCTCAACAGGGTGAGAAGATTTAAATACAGTTGGGATTCCTCAGCGACAGTCAAAATACCGGAATCGTATTTACAACTTATCAATGAATTTGTTGAACAGCGAAACGCGCGAATGCAACAGACGTTGGGGAAGAGCAGACAGTTTACTGTCGAGGAAGTACAAGCGTACAGCCCCTTTGAGACGAATGACGTGTCACTCGAAGAGCTCAAGGCCTCCGTTAATCTGGAAGGCGAAGATCCTCAAGATGTGTTGCAGTTTATCAATGTTGTACCTGTTATTGAGCTACCGGAGGAACAGCCCGCATTGGACGAGCCGATGGATGACGTTGCGACAGCCGACGTAAAAGTCGAGCCGAAGGTTGAGGAAACCGACGCGGACGTTGAGATGCCCGATAGCTATACAGGCGCAACCGACGAAGTACCTGGGCCTGATACTGGTATCGCAGGCGTAAATGCCTTGCCGACAGCACCAGAACCTGATCCACAGATGGCGAAGATCGAGGCCGAGGTTCTTGATGTTTTGGCTGATGATGAAACGACTGTTGAAGAAGGTGCAACCGGAGATGTTCCTATGATCCCTACGGACGCGGACCAACCCGCAGAGGGTCAAGCGTCTTCATCTGACCCGAGACCACCATTGCCGCGATTGCGAGGCAAAGGGCAGGGACAAGGCACCCCTTCGGTCGCTCCCGTAACGGGGAGCTTTCTTGCACCTGAGAACAACGACAGCCCCGACTTGAAATTTTCTGGAAAAGGGAAGGGCGTTCTCGTTCGCGAGACGAAGCCTAACCCCGAGTACAAAAATATGCAGGTCGAGGTTGAAGAGGTTCTCGGAAGGTATCCTTACCCGAATCACCTACTCAAGGCCATCGGGAATGGCAACATCCAACTCCTCGAGGATGAGCTGGGCCGCGACGCCAAGCAGTACGTGCTGTACCACGTTACTGGCCATAGGTATTATTATGTATATGAGGATTATCATCATGGGCCTTGGGAGTGGTGCTGCTCCTGGCCACCTCATGTTCGTCGCGGTATTTCTGGTCTTCTTCGTGGACACGTCCCAGACGTCAGTATTTATGATCCGGCGTGTTATTTGCCAATTTACAAACTACTAGATTTGGCGAAGGCCAAATTCCCTGATTATGCTGGTTCTATGAATGTTTTTGAGTTGATTTCGATGGCTATTTATGACCACAAAGATCGTTTCGAATTTCAATGCGTGTACGACTCTCGTGTGAACGAGCAGCTCGAACTTTTCGCCGCCCCCGTCAAGATCCGATGTGGACAAGGCCACACTGACGACGTTCTCGGGACGCGATCAAATGAAGTGCTAGCAGTACTAATCTACTGCCGTCCTGACCATGTACACAGGTACAATGCTCGTTTGACAGCGCACGGGAACCGCGATATACCACCTCGGCTTTACCACCGAACGCATGAAGGTGCTGCGCGATCCATTATTGCGAGCGGGCTCATTCCCGGTGGTGGAGCCGGTGGACCGAAAAGCAAAGGCAATTCCTTCTTTTCAACACAACCTCTGGGAAACCAGAAGGCGATATCTGGTGTTCGTGCTGACCGACCAGTGGAGATTTGTTTTTCAACACCGGATGTGATTGAAGCAGGAGTTGATCTTTTCCTCACAAATTCTGGCGCGGTGATTACCAGCCATCACGTTCCGAATACGTGTATTCTATTTGCAACTCGAGCCCGCGCAAATGCGGAGCCAGAAGTTTTCTATTCGAGGCCGCAGGCATTGGATCCTTCGAACATTGAGGTCGGTGTTCCGCAAGATGATGTGACATTGGTCCCGGGAAAAGTGTCGGAAGTACGCACCATTTTGGAAGGTACAAGCGACGCCACTCCCGAAGAACGCACAGCTAGCAGCAGTGCCGCAAAGAAGGAAGAGATGGAGGCAAATCGCAATACAGCTGTACCACAGATCGAGAGTGGATATTTTCTACATCTTCGAACTTTCAGCTGCGATAAATGCACGACACTTTCCTTAGCAGGAATGGCATCTTGTCATCGATGCGGAGTAGTATTTCAGAGCAATACAACAGATGGACCGATTTCAAAGTTTATGCGACTTCAGATGAGGCGTGCAAAGGTGCTACAAGAGCAGGGGGGCGTGCCCAAGAACATGACCGCAACAAGCATGCTTGACAGCATTGCCGCGCAGGACCTACAGTCTGGACGACCTCCAGCTCGTGGCAGCCCGTCAGTTGACAGTCAGATTATTCTTGCAGCTCGCAGTCGCCTTCGCAAAGCATTGAAATCAGGGTATGAGAATGTATTCGATCGATTCAACCGCGACGACGTCTTCGCCACCTCCTTAACCGGAGAAGGATGCACAGCGTTTGATGCAGCGCAAGAAGACTTGTTTGCGTCACTGCAATTACCGGCACCCACGAGATCAGCGAAGCAGAGATCAAAAGGGAAGTCGGTTGTCAGTGATTTGGATCGACTGGACAGGGTTGACCTCGCCAAGCTCGCGTATATTCGATGCGGTGTTGACAACCTACATACCTGTTTCAAGCAAGGCGTCGACGAGAACTTTCTGATCAGTTATCGCCGAGAGTTTATGTCACTCCGACAATACGCCGCCGTAATTGGCGATAGCCGAGATGAGATCAAGATCCAGGGCTTTATCCCCACGACGGACGTCTATGGCGATATTCATTCAATTCGTATTCCTCGTGGAGACACGACAGGCATTTACAAGATTTTGAGTGAATTTGCAGAGCAGAATGAGAATTATGCAAACATTCAATATCAGAGAAACGCGCAACAGTCTGCAAATGTGCAGGGACGCGATCGTGGACAGCCAGTTTCACAGATGGGCTTCATGAACATCGAACAGCGCATGGCCACGCCTTATCCCAAGTTTGCCGACTGTGGCCAGGACATGTCGTCTGACGAAGTCAGAAGGTTGGAAGAACTTTTGTTGGAGTTTGGACAGCGTGGATCCCCATCTCCTCAAGGACCTGTAACAAGGCCCCCGTTGACGCGGAAGCGATCGCAGATGTATATGGAGACTATTGGAGATGCAGACAAACGACCGAGGCTGCAGTGGAGGAGGAAAGAAGACCGAGATCAATCTGGTCGTATTGCAACTTGGGTTGACAACCGGACTCCACCGCCAGGCGTGCCTCAGCCGCCAGCTCCCGTAACAGGGACGCATACCTCGTCGGTATTCAGTATGAATGCACCTCCTGCTCAAGGACAAGTTTCAGGAAAGGGTGACTCCTCTAAACAGGATGTCGGTGAACGGAGAGATGTTTCTGGAAAGGGCAAAGGCCAAGGCAGTTCTTCGGCAGCAGGCTCAGCCGCTCCCGCAAAAGGGACGCCGCGTGGTTCTGTCGCCCGAGCAATTTCCCAGAGCCGTGTCCTTCCACCTAAACGTGGCAACATCCCCAAGGACCTCTTGGGTCCCCCAACTTCACCGCCACCGTTACCTGCACCCAACAACCCACCTGCAACTGGCCTTTCACCAATCTCCAAGCCACGTCCAGCAAAACCTTCACCTCCGAAGGTCCCACCACCAAAGGTGCCTCCTCCAAAGGTTCCTCCACCGAAAGTGCCACCCAATACAGCCAGTGGCATTCCGGTACATACAAGGCCGACAGATTTCAATCTCACGCCGAAGCCGCCGCCGCTTACAGACCTTTACAGTCGGTTGCAACCTTCCGTAAAAGGAAAGGGCAAGGATAAGCAGCAGGTGAGTGTTCGAGGAGGACCTTATGCTCCACAGCAATGGAATGTACAAAACGTGCCACCGCCGCCATTGCCACCCGGAACTTCATCCGCTTCGGCATCATCGTCACATAATGCACCCTTAACTGGGCCGCCGACTTCCAGCATTCGTGGAACTATTGATCGACCATTGGAACCCTTTGATTTTCCTGGAGTACAATGGCAACGCGATGACCCATGGGGCGAGAACTATTGGCCCAATCACATGGAATTGTGGGAGTGGTTGAGGCAGGGATGGCATGACGAGACGGAGCGTTTTGGAATACAATTTCTTTAAGCAGATGTTGAATAGCTACCATAAATGGTATGCCTTGCAGCTTATGAGTGTTGAGATAAAGATCACCTTCTGACGCGCTGTGAGATGATGTTTCACTTCATTGTCTCACTTCCCAATGCATCCATAACAGGATTGCCATAGTCGGAGAGTGAACTTTTAATCAATGCTTAACACTAACCTGGGCCTAGCATGTTTAACCACATGCCGAGTGAGGCGAAAACTGTACATTAGGGTAGCTACGTTCTCCTTGTATAGTGCATGCACGAGCTTGATGAGGGATTTCTAATATGATTCCTTCGTCGCTAGAATTTGATCCTCCCCGAGATTTTCCCTACGGGTAGCTCCTTGTAAAGGGGGGTGTTGAAATTCACCTCATCCCCATGGACCCCGTAGCGTTGACTCTCAAGGTAGAGCAAAAGGTAGCGCTTACCGGACTAGCAGGGTTAGCTAGGTAGTTAGTACTATTAGAGCTGATCCTGTAAAATACACTTTTCAACCACCGATTGTTTGTGACCTCCACACCTGATATTGTTCAACTACTTCTTACATCGCCTGTCTCTCCCCGAAAAACGATGGCCGTCGTCTGGGAGACGGTGAGGAGGGCGTCTTCGCGTTCGAGCCCTTTGTGACCGAAGCGGAGGCCAAAGAGACCTTCGGAGCGGGACATCGAAGGTGACGAAGGGTAAGCCACAAGGGTAAGGCACAGCCTCCAAGGGCAATGTGGTGAGGGCCATGGTTACTGATTCATGATATATAAAATAGACTATATATATAAGAGATCTGTAAGGCAGGCATACATTCCAGAAGCGGCACGGAACAAACATGAGCAAAAGAATCATGAGCACTCCATTCAGCACAAAGTTCATCACCAATGAGGAATCAATCACTCGTGACTGAGGACACAGAATGTCTCCGTGGAAGACTTGGGCTGCATGGCCGCAGGGCAGCTTCTAAAATGTGGCAAACCCATGGATAGCATGACACGAAAGCACCGCAAATCAACAAAAGTAGGGTTCCAGTATCAAAGTGTCATGTTCGAAGTTGCTCGTTCATCAGTTTGAGCTGCAATACATATTATGTATATAGCACATATATATATATACATACATGTGCCAGTATATGTGCCCAATAGACCGCCCATCATTCCTGTCGCCGGTGGGGTCAGCGGTCCAGGCGGTTCCACGACGAACTCGTCCATCGGTCGAAGCTCCTTTCACAGGCACCGATGAGCTTCAGCGCTTGGTCGGGATGGCACAAGCGGAATTGCGAAAAAGAGGCCCACCGACCACGACGGGCCGATGGGTGTTTTCGATGGTTGTTCTGAAAGAGGTGAAGAGGCAGACTTGATAGATCTTGATAGACTCATGATGTGAAGAGGCTTTAATCTACAGTCCAAAAAGGCAGTTCAATTCTCGACTCGGTAATTACATCACTTGCTACATGCTTTGCCGTGTTACTTTCAACATTTTAACACCCATCAGATGATTGCTGAAGCTTCATTTGTTCCCATTTCCTGGTGTGCTGACATGAAGCAGCTGGTGTAGACGCTCGCTGGCTGACTTATCACACCTTCCGGAAATTGGGCTTGAGCTCGCCTTAGCCAAGTGGCTAGCTCTTGGAGAGGGCGATGGAGAGAGAGAGAGAGAGAGAGAGAGAGAAAGACAGAAAGAAAGAAAGAAAAGAAAGAAAGAAAGAGTTCTATTCTAGAGTGATGGGCTGTGTGCTCAGGCAGTCATTGCATTCCCCAGGCGCATTTGCATTGCGCCTCCGAACTTGTTTTTCGCTAGGTAGCGACTCAGAGCTGGGAACTGAGCTGGGTGCCGGGCCTGAGGTGCGGTGCAAGTTTGTGCGGTCGTCGGTCGTTTTTGTTTCCTATGATGTTGGTGCTTGTTTAAAACACCTGTTGAACATCGACCTCGGAGCAAGACGATGCAAGACCGGCTGGTCCGTTGGAGGCAAGCGACACCATCGGCCACCAAGAAGGCATGGCCTCCAACGGAACCGAGGACGCCTTGACCGGACGCCTCGACCGCTCAGCCAGCTACGCTGGTTCCGACGCAGCGGCCCAGCGATCGGTGGAGTCTGGGTGATGTCGGGGGATCATGGGGGATCTCGGTGGATCTTGGGGGATCTTGGATATCTTGGTAGGCAATTTGATGTCAGTTTTGTGTGTCATTCTTTTGGGATGTTTTTAGGAAGCATGGAGTTGGACGTTGCAGTTTGGGATGCCCACGGTTTGTTTCGCACGCCACTCGTCATGCGGCGTGACGGCCTGACAGCATGTCCAGACAGTGCTCAAATTGACAAGTTCACAGCAGTCACTGGTGGAAGTGGAAGCACTTAGATGTTTTGCAACGGGTTTTGGTCACTTATATAGATGTTTGCAAGTTGATGCAAGTTGCAGGCGGTCGCATGTTCAGTTTTTCGGGGATCCTGTCGCTGATCTGAGGCAGGCTGTGGATATTCCAAGTACTATGGCAATAGCCCGAAGGACAAGAACTACATCGTGCTTTGTTCGTACTACCCATCGAACCCTGTGCATGTGTCGCACACTCCCCGACGTGTTTTTTTTTAAATGAAAGTGGAGAATGGACCCTCACGGATGACAAGGATAGTTCGCAATCGGGTGGTTTGCCACTTCTATGACTATGATTATGTCAAAGAGTGTCACACTACATAGTGGCATAGTTACTGTAGCCATATCACAAGTAAAAACAGCAAGCAGACAATACAAGAATGGCCACATGAGGAGGACAAGCAGTGGTTAGCCGGTTAGCACTACAAGTGCGTGGCTTTGACAGAGCGACGCAGGCGTGGCGAGACGATCGGACGAACAGACACGAGCTAGCAGCACCTGTATGAGCAGCACTTGTATACAAGGGTGCCAATGCACAGTGGGGGAGCCGAGTCAACACTTTAAGACTCAGACTTATATGTATTTGTGCCTACAAGAGGGCCAAGAGGGAGGTTCTATGCAAAAAAGCAGAGACGGTGGCAGTACAGGACACCGACTTGGAGCACCGAAAACAGAAATGGCAACGACTCACACCACATACTGGTCCTTGCTGCAACATTTGCACAGGTGGTGCAGCTACCGTGGCCAGACGAAACCCGAAGAGGGAGAGGAGTACTACAGATGGCTTGCTTGCCGCAGTACACCAAATGGATCCCATGTACTACAGATGGCTTGCTTGCCGCAGTACACCGAATGGATCCCAACCAATGGAGCTTGGAAAGTACGACACGGGAAAGCCATTGAAAAAGAAGAACACAAAAGCAGGTGCCAAGGCATTGTGGCGCAGCAAAACGGCAGCTACAACACTTTCCAGGAAAGAGCAGCAACTACACAAAGTGCATATCGTCCACCACTACGGTGGACAACTTGAATAACATGAAATAACTATGATTTTTTGAAGCGCTTGGGCTACAACCAAACTCACTGCTCTGGCACCTGCAGCTAAAGGTCATCGACATGGAGTGTACAACTATATTTGACCTGCTGACACCTGCCTGCAGTCCCACAGGGGCAGGCAGCTATATGCAGCTTGACTGTCAGTGCTCCAGAAAAAGAGCAACTGCATTTTTGTTGCGATCACAACGGCTGAACTTCAATACCCTCCATCTTACCCAAACGCATTGTTACCGAACCAGGTGCATTCGCGAATCCTCAGCATGGGATCGGAGAAAACACCAGAAGTACAAGTGCAAAAAACTCAAAAGTGTTACAGAAACACCAGGCAACTTATCAACCCACCAGCAACTACCAACCATACGGCAACTATATATATATATTATAACTATATGACTATGGTTCAAAAAGAAAGTACGTCGACATTGTGAAGAGAAAGAGAGAGAGAGAGAGATGGTGGTTGTAAGAGAGGCGTATACAGTTGTTTTACTTGCTCTTGGCTGTTCAACTCCTTTTATGTTTAGTGACAGGGCAGAGGTCCGCCAAGAACATGCACTGACGCTCCTACTCACAGGAGCTGTGTTTTTGCAAGCTTGCTGGGAACTCCGGATGTGCGAGCAAGAAGTGCACCTGCCCGCAGGGCTGTGGTCGCAATGTACCTTGACTGATGTCCGCAAAGATAGGTCGGCGGATAGCTCCGAAACGTTCCAACATGAGATTAGCACACGGGACTGCTAAATTTAGGATGTATATACCAGGACCCTCCAAGGGGTGTCTATTTATAGCCCCTTAGCTGTTAAGGGGTGTCCATTAACCACCCCTTGAAGGCCCTGGTATAAACATATATATATATATAATACCTAGAACCCATCGGACCTCTGGTTTTGATAGGAAAAGACCATGTTTTGGATCCCAAACAGGGGTCGATCAGGTTCTAGGGATATGTTTCCTTGCCTTCACTCCAACTTCAGGCCCCACACGGGCCACACATCCCTGCTGCGCCCTGACGTGAGGTGGTCTGGGAATCCAGCGAGAGCGTCACGTTCAAGAACCGGGCACGCGCTAATGGATGTCACCCCTCTACTGTGCTGCTGAGCCCTGGCACGGCATGGCATCACCCATCGAAAGCCAGTCAGTGGGAAGCCTTAAGCTTGTTTGGGGATTCGTTTCCGCACCAATCGAAGACACTTTCTAGGGAAACCGAGGGAGTCCGTCACCCATGTTTTTGATTTTGGTCCCAGTGCGTCAGTGCAAAGACATGCTAGGACATGCATGGAGATGCATGGACACATGCAAGAGCATGCAGTGTTCTGACTCAGGTGGTTCCCCCTGCAATGACTGAGAATCCCCAAAGCATCCGAACACTGAGCGGAGTTCGTCAGGTGTTCATCCTCCAGAAGCCGTCACCAACTGCATAAAGACTTTTACTGCAATAGATAGACCATCGTCGGCTCGCATGGCCATTTTTTCTATGAATTGCCTATGATGTCTCGTTCTCCATGTGACTTCTCCTTTCGTTGTGGGGGAACATCCCCCGGCTAACACCCGAAAGAAGGGACTTCCCACCATCAGAACCTGATGGCATGGACCAAACTGGAAGATCATGTTTTCCTCCAGCTGCACCAGTGGTTTTCGGGTTTCGCAACGTCCACGTGACATCGTCTTCCCCCTTTTGAGGACTGCTCCGAAGGCCTACTACGGAACGCCGGCGGATCTGAAGAAATGTGGCAACGCCGTGTCAGTGGCCTGGGCCAGAAAGATTGACAGGAGACATGCACAAACTTACTTGACATTGTGTATAAGATGCTTACAGAGCATGAGGTATAACATTGTAGTTATAATCAAGAGCATGTAAATCCACACCTGTTTATTTATATATAAGTTGTATGATATTGCGTGTAACCTTTAAATCTAGTGGTTGTTTGGGGTTCTGTCCGCCAAATCGACCTGTTGGGGACTTGGGTGATCAGGGAAGGCTTCGGAGTTCTTACTTCATTCGTTGTACAAGTGCTTCCTTCGGTTCCTGAAGAAAAGGTATCAGTTGGTTTCTGAATCCTGGAGGCATGAAGCTACGGTGGCAGCTCATGGCAGAATCATTAGAACGAACACTTGTGCCCCTGTTGTGGCGAATGGACCTATTTGGCATATGTGGTTCATTTCCGTGCTATGTTGCCCAGGTTTAAGTAATTTTAAGTAATCCAAGTAGTACCAAAGCAGAGCAGCTTGAGCTTTGGAAGCTCATCACCAAGGTGATTGAGATGCTTCTGAGAGATAGCTGGAACATGTACCAGTCTCGTGTGTGGCTGGGTTTGACATTGGAGCTTGCACTGCAGGTAGTGTAGTGTAGCGGTAGAGGTGACAGCACCAGCCGGCCAATGAATGATGCAATGTTGACCTTATCTAACATTGGCAGGTGGCGCATGACAATCATTACATTTACGGTAAAGTGTATATTCAATGTCAAGGAGTCGTGGCCCCGCGCTGCCAAGGAGTCGTGGCTCCATGAACCAGTGTTTCCACGGCTCACACACAGCTAGCGCCACTTGAAACGACAACGTGTGGAGATGAATGGAGATGTATGGAAATTATGCGAAGTGTTGGTTTGAATGCAGAGACTGTTTTCAATTCCCTTGAGTTTGTTATTTGTTTTTCAGTTCGTACCTGGGTCAATTTGCACTCATTTCCTGTGTCATGCTTTTGTGTTTTCACCCCAGAGAAGATTCAATTTGCAGCTCGCATGATGAGACAGTGCCATCACCCCACATCAGCTGTCTGAGCTTGGATCAGCTTGATTAGCGGCATGTGCCTTGTTGGATGTTTTCTAGGTCAAGTATTTGCATTTGCAGTCCTTCTGCTCTTACGCATCCTTTCACGCAATGCCCAACAGCACCTCGCTAGGGATCGGGATCTCGGGTGCGACCGGGAGCCGTCGGTGTTTTGGGCCGGTCATGTGCAGGTGAAAGGAACTTCAAGGTCAAGTGCTGCATTGCCAAACGGAGGAACCTTATTAAGTTTACTATATATGTTATGTATTTCTTTATATACTCATATATGCATAACATTGCATAAGTATACAGTATATTATACATATCGTTTGTTTTAAATCCAAGCTGCAAGTGTGAACACGTGTAAGTTTACGGGGTCAGTTTTTGCGGGATGGCCCATAGGTCAAGCACATGCGTTATCTCTACTGGTTCTGTGTTTGTTTGAGAATCAACATTGGCAGGTTTTAGTTCTGCTGTTGAATTGAAATTGAACAAACTGTTGGGTTTCTCAACGTTTCTTGAATGCTCCACGTATGCTCACGCTGAAATTGAAGCCCTCGAGACATCAGCACGTTTGCTGTTGTTCTTTTTGGGGGTTGTTCCATCAACATTGCCAACCACCATAGGATTCGGATTTCGTGTTCCGATCAACCCGACAACACAAAGAGCTATATCACTCTATGATACTCTATGCTTGAACGTTCTCTAATTATTTTTTACATTGGCAAAGAAAAATAGTCCTCAGATTCCTGAGTTCCTAACTCACATGTGACAACAGTCTCCACCTCCCCGAGCCCACCGAAAAACGGGGGGAAGTCCAACAACACGCACGCTCTTCTTGCTTCGTTCGTTCCCGAGACAACCATGCTGTCGGCGTTTGTGTGAAGATGCGGAACATCAACGAAGCCAGCAGCTTGGCCAGGCGATCCGGCGGTGTTTTCACCGCACAGAACGGGTGGGCGTTCTGCCGGGGTTCTGCGTCGTTTGGGTTCCGCACATGGCAGATCATGGCAGCACTTGTCACGCACAAGTGATTTGTTGTGGTCTAGAGTTTGCGGACAAAGAGTAACAGTATTACCCAGACACTCCATGTATGCCATATATGCCTACATTGGGGTGGTTTGAGGGCCCAATGTAGGCATATATGGCATACATGGAGTGTCTGGGTTATGTATACTATTGTTTGTCAAAGCATGGGTTTCATGTTTTGAACATGCTTATCCAAGGTATAAGGTGTTTTATAATTTGTTCGACCACGTTGCCCTGAAACATTATGCTCCCGTACTACTTGACTTCCTTTTCTTCTCAAACCTGTGGGCACCAAAGAGCTTGTGAGACATGCCGGAGCTCCCAAATAGCTGGTTCAGACATCAGTTTCCAGGTCAGTTTGAAGCCCTTGTCGCATGTTTTGTTCGCCAATTGATGCACCTTACTTGCTTGGGCACTTGCGAGACCAGACCGGCTGAACGGCTTGGCCGCCAGGAAGCTCTACAGCCAGATGCAGTGAGTGCGTCGTTTTCAATGCTGGAGGAGCAAACACCAGCACATGGCCAACTGGGGAGTGGAGGAGCAAAGAACTTTGAAAAGCGTCAAACCGTTGGCCAACTGGAAACGATGATGGTTCAGACCACATCTACAGACTCAGATTGATTCCATTTTGATATATATATATACACATATATATATATATATATTGATTTCATTAGCCTTGGAAGCTTTGATCGTAATTGAAATCACTTGCATTTGATGTTTTGAACTCTTTGACCGGTCCAGTTTGCCCAGCAGTCTAAAGCACACATACTCACCCCGTGTGAAATTGTCCCCGCACCAACTGCTAGAATTTGTTGCAAGTCAGCAGGCCACGTGCCGAGATCAACTTGTTTTGGGTTGCAACAAGGTGCTGTCGGAGATGCGACAAGGGGTGAACCACCTGAAACCCATCTAGGATTGGTGTGTGCTCATTGTTATAAACTCCCCCTGTGAGAACTTACCTGACCAAAACATATGTTTCAAACTTTCAACCTTTTATTTCTGTGTACCCTGTTCTACTCTGTTCTGTGTAACCTTTTACTCTGCGTACTTCTCAAAAACAACCATAGTGCGACAATCTTGACGCCCTAAACTCTCATGACGCTTGATCGAATCAAACTCCAGACCCTGCATCTCCCCGTTGACTCGTTGACCTCTGGAAGTGAACGAACTCCAAACCCAGTCAAGGGACCCGGAAGCGGATTAGGACGTCGCCGGGCTTCCGCCCTAGTAAGAAAATTTGATGCCTTTCTGTGCCATTTGCGGGGAAGATGCAGGAATGCCACAACGGGTTGCCCAACAGAGACGCAGGGTTTGGAGTCTCATAAGGCGTCAATCGCTGACTTGACCTTATTATCTTACAGAGTTTGCAAACCTCCCAATGGAAGCCCATCATACCACCATTCTAACAACTTTGAGCTATTTTCGGACCGCAACAATAATGCGTAAACGTTCTTCCCTTTGCAGTTGAACCGGTAAGAGAACCGAGAACGGCGCAAATAATGAAATGTACATGCATTTCCAGCTTTGGGTCTTGCAGGTAGTAGGCAGATGTCCTGTTTTGCTGCCGCTCCCGCTTCAGCCCTGTATCGAGAGTGCTTTTGAGTGCCTTGCGTGAATGTGCGCAGCTCTATAGGCGTTGACACTTTCCTGTAGGCAGAATGGATGTATATAGCCTTGGTTGGACCAGCGACCAATCACAATCCATTCTTGATGTGCGAAAGGACAACTCGCGAGCAGGTTCGAGGACAACTAAAAGGATCTATAAGGTTATTGGTTTGAAAGTTCGCCATGTTTGCATTTTGATGCATCATCTGTTTTCAAGTCAGGTCCCATCGTCCACACCGACGCCCCAGGCCACGAGCACGATGACCGTTCGTCGCTTCGCGGCGGGGCCCACGGCTGCCCCCCGTGCCCCCCGCCGGACCCCCGCGCCCACAATGTTGAGCGAAAAAGAAGTGATCGAAAGGACTGGGCATGACACGGGCACCGAGACTCGCGTGGCTTTAAAGGGCGAGGTGACCGAAGTTGACCCAAGTTTTTCAAGTCACTGAGTAAACATGGAGGAAGCAGGGGATTTGGCCTGGACATGCGGAATGATATGCGGAATCTGCCTACCCCAAACTGGTTTTGTGACTCGTTGGCGCTGCCCAGGCTCCCGCGAGATACCTTTGATCATGCTCGCTTGGCCCTCATGTCCGTGGATCGTGGAGATGAAGGCGAGTGTTGAAAAAAGAAGTCCTGTTGAAAGGCCTGAAGATGGTTCTTTGGCTTCTGGCCCTTGCCTGTGAGATATGAATAGAAGTTTGACTGCCCATGTCGGAGGCATTGAAGTATGGTTGTTGCCGAGAAACCTTGAACTTAAATATCAAGCAATCAAGCATAGTTGACTTGCACAAAGCTGTGCGTATATATATATATATATATAATATACACGTGCCTCTTCAAGAAGCAATGGTCATAATGAGATGAAGCCGGAATAGTGAGCGGTTTGTGCTGAATGTCCATGTTGAATCCTGCATGTTCACCACCTCATTCATGTTCAGTGCCGTTACTGAGCTCTCCCAGTGACACATCAGTGCGGGTGGGCTGTGCTGTCCAGCAAAGGTGCTGTGTTTTTGTAGCCCAGGTCACAAAGACTTGTCCGAATGCGAGATTTGCCGCCAGCTCAGCAAGTCCAACCCACGCCTTCTGTTTCTTCAGCAGCGTCGACCACCGACCGGACCGAACGGTACATGTTCTTTTTACCGTTCACCAGCTCTGGTTTGGTGTACAGTAGTGACCACGTTTGGCAACGTTTTGTTCCCCTAAGATGTTTCGCAATCTTTACACTGCGGTGGCGAGCTAGTTTCGACTGAAAGAGGTGGTATTTGCCTCAAAGCAAACGACCAGTGTATACCGCTGGCCAGGTCTTGTTGAATATGAAGAAGGAGACGAGCTTATTCGACTACCATGCTTTGGGCCTTAGCAAGATGGTGATGCATCCGATTTCATTGCAAAACCAGTCATTGAAATTATGGTCTAGACAGCATTGGCAAGATGTTTGCTTACAACAAAAAACACTTAGGTCCCTTCAGACGTCAGACCGTGTGAAGTTCGCTTTGCACGAGGTACTCAGAAGATCTTGGACGGTGAATAGTTCTGCATGTGTTCCCTTGCAACGCTCCTGGCCTTACTCCTATGAGCAAGAAGCTACTAGGAGCAAGGCCATCGCTACTGGGGGCTCCTCCTGGCATCACTACTAGGAGCATTCTTATTACCAAGGGAGCTGCAAGTGCTATGTCTCTTGCCTCGATGTTGTTCAAGAAACGAGGCTTGCATCTTTTTCATACCCAATGCGTTGGGGAACCCAGCAGGTTGAGCCAATCGCAACGCAATCCCGGTTTCAGACACATCCAGTCAAATCCTGTCGTTTGAGATTGGGAGATGATGGGGGATGCGTGCAGCAACAGATCGAGACCTGAACCAATCATCAGTCATCCATGTTTTTGTTTCTCCTGCTGAATGCCCATGGCACATGAAACTCCAGGAGAAGTGTCTCGTGACACCTGTGCCTTCCGCCAAGAAGCCTCTCCCCAGGCTTCCAGCCCCCAGCCGAGGTGACCCCGTGGCTGCAGAAAAATCGCATTTGCCCAGTTTGTCAAATTGACGCCCTCGAGGACTGAGACGAGGGACAGAGACCAAGCAGCGAAGTCAGCCATCTTCAAGTGCGAAGATGGGTGAAGTAGATGCACAGTGTTCTAATGTGACGACATAGTTACTTCCTGGAACTCTCTGAGAATCCATTTCTGGTGTGTGTGGGTGCAAATGCTGCACTCCGTCCGACTACTTGCTTTGAAGCAAAAAACACCCAACAACCCACCCGCTGGCAGGCATACGGCTGACGCCGACCCGCACTGATAGAGGCCAACGCACGATCCTGTTGGTTGCACGCGATAGTGGAACTGGGACGGATATGTCATCGAGCGCACGGACTCGACCAGCCCAGACATCCGAAGAGTTTCGCGATCAAACCAGCGAAGGAAGTGACGTCGTGTGATCATGTGGTTTGAGACGAAAATTTATTCTCATGACTATCGCGATGGTGACTGAATGTCAAGCAGCCTATCCCGAAGTGGAGGGAAACTGCTTGTGATAGCTTTTCTGGGTGCCATGAGAGAGGTGCCAGGTGCTGAGCTGTTGGCTTCGCCAGAGTCATGGCTCCCCACTTCTTGTCCAGCCGTGGGGTGGGGGCGGGGGAGTGCAAATATGAAGAGCAGAGATGCTTTGAAGATCTTTGAAGACGCATGGCTGTGGGTCAAAAGCCGGACACCCTGCTTGACCCCTGAAAATGAACCGACTTCTTTAGACTCTAGAAGGGATCTTAACCTACCTGGTTTGGTAGGGTAGGCTTCACTAACAGCCATGTGCGTTTTCTTTTCTTCACCTGAGACAGAGACAAGATGAGACAAAGAGCATCCAAAAACGGGGCGATGGCACATGGCACCTCTCAAGTCAGTTTGGCCTTCCTGCGTTGGCAAGTCTGAATCTGTTTTCCGCAGCTTGGTCTCACCTCCTTGGGCTGGATTGGATCCTTCCCCAACCAGCCACAAATGATCATCCAAATACCATTACCCCTAGGTCCTAGGTCAAGTTCAGAAAGACTCAACCTTTGACCCTGTTAGGCCGGACAAAAACATGCTAGAAGGGTGGTTGTTGCTGGACCTTCCAGTCCTTTGTCGGAACCCGACGACTCTACCGGGCTCCGGTGGCTACAGCGCGTTCCGGGCCGAAGAGTTTTGGGTCTGTTTTGGAGGTCGACCTTGTTTGGGCGGCCCCCTCAAACTTGGCTGCATCAATTTGCATCAACCAGTTTGAACGGAACAGCCCCTCCCAGACTCCCCCCCTCCCCCGTTGGTATGTTTTGTTTTGGGGGGTTCATGGAAAGAGTGACAAAGAACACACTGCAGCCACCATGCTCATCAGCCCACCTCGTTTTCCTGTGTGCATGGGCTTTTTTGCGACAGTCAGTGTGGCTCCACGCAAGCATCTTCAGACTTCAAGGAAGCATAGCATTGTAGAGAGTTGAGGTGCGCGGACATTTGCTGCGTCTTGTTCAAACACTCACCAAACTAGCCGCCAATAGCTGCTGAGTTTTGCAGACACTGAAAATCACAACTAAACCTCGGAGGCACCGGCCTTCAATGCAGTACTCTCAGTACTGTAGCTACCTAGCCCTTGACCTTTTGCCCGGCTGCCTGGCTTCTTCCCACAACTTAGCTTCGTTAGACATGTTGAACAAACTCTCACAGCATCGATGTGCAACGCTTAGTTTCTCAGGTCTACGATCACGTTTCATACTTACACTCAGCCGCCACATTGGTTGCATTTGCAGGAAGTGCAGTTGTCTCAGTGATAGCTGCGGTGGATTGGTTGACGGGCGAAATAGGATGAAATAGGCTTGATTGTATTCTGTCAGTTCAGTCACTTTGCACTTTCTTTTGCGCGAAAAAGACCATAACTCGAGTCTGTCAGACAACTTCTCAAGGCTCAATGCACCTAATTTAGACTTCTCAAGGCACAATGCACCTAATTTAGACCACTGACCATTGAGATCCCTGATCGCGCCTGATCACCAATCCATTGAAGATTATTGAGTGCCACAGATTTCTGTGGCACCACATGCGGCTGGCATGAGGCTGAAGACAGGTACTCAAAGGTTCTGTTGACACTTGAAGTTCTCCTCGTGACAACTCCATGTTGTTATTTTTCTTTAGCATTTTGTCAGCATCATGTGTGTTTTCTACCAACCCGCGATCAACCACAACATGTTTAAACACGCGAAATATGCAGTTTGCCTTCGTTGTTTTTTCTCCAGGACCGCAGCTTGCTTTGAAGAGTCTTTTTGACCTCAGCCATTCGTGTCTTCGGCCTTTTTGGTCAACCC